TCTGAAAGTTAGAAATGGTTTAAACGTGATTTAAAGGCGATTTTATGGGGGGTCTTCGTTTTGGATATTTGGGGGGGTTTTGTCCAAAACGAAGACCCTAGCAAAAAAGCAATCAAATCGGCTATTCTTGTAGTTGGTGCAATGAATTTTTTTGGATTTCAGGTGTGCTTTTCGTTGTAAATTTGCAAAAGCTTTAGTGGAGATTTTTCAAAATTTTGCCTTGCAGGATTTTTTTCCTGGCCTTTCGGGCCGTGCAGGAAATGTATTTTCAAAATCTTCCAGCCCCCCTCCTCCCTCAAAAGTCTAATGGATCTCCCCTTAGCTTAGGTTTGAAAACCGTATGAACTTGAAAAATTTGCTGTTGGCGGTATAAAAGTTGATGTTACGTGACTGCAAGCTGTATTATATGCACATGTGAACTACTATGGGCAGCAGTAAGTAAGTTAAATACAACACTGAAASAAAACAAAGACAAAAAAAGCTCGCCTTTTYCCGTAGCACTTCTTGAATTTTCCGCCTGCCGCCTCTGTCTCGGAAAGTCTCGACCACTGTTGGCCACCCAAGCCCAAAATATTAAATATTTCTCACTAGTAAATTCAAATACACCAGGATGCACACCCGTCACGAAGAATATTGTGTTTTCAGTGTTCCCAATCCCAATCCCAAATCTTTTCCGCTCTTCCCAAAGAACACGAGGCTTGCAATATTCCTATTAACGCARCTAACCATCGAAAAAAATCTCCGCACTTAGCCCCAATGATTATGCTGATCAGTCGTCAAGTCTTTGATCCTAAAAATCGTTACAACTAGACGATCATTGATCGCTAATGTGGGCTTCCTGTAGATGCGACAAWGGATCAGCTGCCGTCATTGAGCTATAACTATATAATTTTCACGATACAGTCTTTGTTTGAAATAAGTCAAGAAAACCCTAAGTTATTTACTACATCATAATGTTTTACCGAACTGAACTCTAAGTAACTTCTTAAATATCCTTTCTTTCAACCTCGTCCCCAGGGCCATCTCGGCCGACTCCGTTTCAAGATGGCGGTCGTCGGGGAGATGACCCTGGCGTTGGCTAGAATCACGTGATCAAAACCTCCAAGATTTTTGGAGGTTTTGATCACGTGGCTTATCTATTCAAAATGGCGCTCGAAACGTGAACTCAACGGTTTCACAAACTGGGATAGCTGTGGTGGGTCGGTATTTGCTTTGTTTTGATGATTTATTTGAAAAATGTCCTTCCGTCCTGCCGTCATCGGCAGTGTTGACCCCTAGACCGCCTACGGGAGTAGATCCAGTTCATTCTAGAATTCTTGAGGGATCCGCTCACTGCAGAAATCGGCGAGTAGAATGCTATCGCTAAATATATCCGTCAAGTTAAATTTCTTACACGAGTAGTTGGCATCTCCAAACCACATATTGGACAAGAGAGACATAAGAGGACAACTGACAAGAATTCCAAAGAATATCGTTGCTTTTTAATCGACAAAACGTACCTTAATTAAATTTCGGGAATATTTGAATAAAAACAANAAATGCGTTATTTTCATTAGTGAAAACTATATCAACTTTACGCAATGGAGAAATATAGGTATTTCATAGATAATTATGTGATAAAATAATTTATTAAAAGGAAATGCGAGTAATATCTTAATTAGAATCATGACATCAAATGAAAAGAGACTCTTTGACTGAAGCGGCTGCTGCACATTACCATATTTAAAAAAACCCAGCAAATACAAAATACTACGTGATATTCCAAAAAATGTGCCTCACTTAGAAGCTTTGTAAAATCCTAGTAAGCAGTAAGGTGATTTGTTTGTTTGTTTTCGGTGATTGTGATCTAACTCGTGGTACCGAACTTGTATAAACGTGATGCAGCCAGAAACGGGACACTATTTGCTTTAGCTTTCATGATGTAATCTTTTGGAACCCATTAGGTGATTATCATAAAAAGATAACAAAGAAGTGGCATTTTTTTTCTTATTTTTTCTTTGTTTTCTTCTTCTTTCTTTCTTTCTTTCTTTTTAATATATTTAAATTCTTTGCTCAGGACTAATCCATGTAATCTCTTAGTTTCAGTCACGCGTCACGCAACATCCGTCCGAAACTAAATCGCTGCAAATACTAACAAACAGCGGCTATTTAAGGACAATTTGCCAGTATCAATAAACCAGAACAAATTTAAACGAATTTTGGTGAGTGGAGAATTTCTAAAAAAAAAACAATACAATTTTAGAAAAGATGTTTTGTGATAAATTGTTTTGTCTCTATAACAGAACTCAGACCACACGTGCTGTGTAACGCATACTTGCCGTAATTTGCATAGGCGAGACACTCGCATGGTGCTGTCTCTCGACATCTCCATTTCGTCCTCATGGCTAGATGAAAGTCACGTTTTAAAATCACAACATTTCTTATTTTCTTTACTGTTCTTCGATTCGATATCGTGTTCAGAAAATATTTTTAAATCATTAAAGGGTCAAAAAACGTGACCTCCAACTCTTACTGTTACATAACCACCATGAAAGCCATCATCTTCATATTCGTTTGTGGTTTAACAGCAACGATTATTGCAGTTCTTTTGCAAGTCCTGGTTCCAAAAATAGTGGACTCTCAATTGAAAAAGAACCTTGTTATCAAAGATGATAACTCCTTGAGGTTCAAGCAGTGGAAAAGTCCAACATTGCCAGTGAGAATCAAATTCTTTGTCTTCAATATCACCAATGGTCCTGACATAAAGAAAGGCAAACGTCCCTCGTTGCAGCAGAGAGGTCCTTATGTCTACAGAGAATACATGGATAAAAAGAATATTTCATTCAACGGTTCAGAACCAATGGTTTCTTACGATCAGGAAAAGTGGTTTATATTTAAAAAGGACGAGTCATGCGTGACATGTGACCCTCACAACGACATAATTACCACGATCAATGCACCATATGTCATCATGKCTGAGGTTGCAAACACCTACTCTGGCCTTGCCAAATTTGTGATCAATTTAATGCTAGCTGAGGAAAAGGAAAAATTGCTGATGACCAAAACAGTTCATGAAATAATATGGGGTTACAACGACCCTCTTTTTGAAGCTTTCGCGAAATGGCGGAAAAAGTATAACCTCTTTTTCATACCAGAAATAGATCCCTTCATGAATTATCAGCCAAACAATACGTACGATGGTTTTGTTTCTGTAAATACTGGTGCAAATGATATTTCTAAGGTTGGTGTTTGGGAAATGTGGAGAGGAAAAAACAGCCTTAATATATGGAAAACAAAGTATGCGAATATGTTTAATGGAAGTGATGGGACACAATTTCCACCAGGCGTTGCTCGCGACCAAACATTATACTTTTTCTCACCAAACCTATGTCGTTCTGTCTATATCAATTACAACCGCAAGCACCAGTTAAAAGGAATTGATGTATTACGATTCACAACACCAAAGGAATTATTTCAAAATAGTACCSAGAACCCAGATAATGCTGCCTTTTGCCATCAGCACTGCTATCCCAATGGCATTCTCAGTGGGACCAAGCCAGACTGTCAGCCGAGTAAGACAGAGTCCCCAATTGTTGTCTCAACACCTCATTTCCTRTATGGTGGTCCAACTATAAGAGATAGTGTGGAAGGTCTTAAACCTGATAAAGAAAAACATGGTCTTTTCATTTCAATTGAGCCACTAACTGGCATTCCCTTACAGGCCTTGATTCGACTTCAACT